AAAAAGCCATTTTCCAGAAGAAGCCTCTGATTGGCGTTCAGGGCGACAGGTAGGCGCCGTGTTTGCTGCCCTCCCACTGACCACTCTCTCCCGACAGCCGTCTGTTTGCAGTGGACTTCTTGGAAGGACGTCCGGCGCGCGGACAGTACTCCGTTTCGATTTCCGTTTCGAAAAGCGATTCGCGTTTTGTTTCGAATTTCGCGCAAATCCTAAAAGTCGTGGTTTTGACGGAAGTTTCCGTCGATTTCGGGGAAATCGCGGTTCTCTTCGGAGACACCGGCGGAACCGCCAAACAGCACCGGTACGTCTTATGCAGTCTTTCACTCCGCACTCACTCTCACTCCCCTTAGACTGGAGTTCCCGAAGACGCTGTCGGAGGTCTTGGACGCCGACTCTCAGCAAAGGATTGTCTTTCGCTTCGCTCTGAAGGACGCGAAGAGCGCCTCAAAGGAGCCAATGAGCGCTCACCAGACGTTCGTTCGGTTCGCGAACTCCCGTTCGGCACAAGAAGTGGTTTTTGTGGCGGAAATGGATTCCGAACTCAATTTCAAACTCGATCTCAATCTCCACTCGAAAGCCAAGGATTTCCGGCATTTGAGCGGCGAATACGAGATCTCGCTTCTGATTGGCGATCCCGTCATCCAAAACCCCATCCATTGGTCGGTCGCCAGAGTTAGGCTCCACTTCGCCGGCGACCAATCGGAGCGCGAGGCGCCCAAAGACGCGTTCGGCGCCAAACCCGAGATCCGCCACGAGTTCCGCGCGCACGAGAAGAGGCCGGCGCCCGTCGTGTCGAACGCCTTCTCCGTCCTCGCGCTCCTCCCACTCGCACTGCTCTTCGCTCTCGTGAGTGCACCCATTGGCCAATCAGTGTCTGACTCTTCCCTCTCTCCTCCGCAGTGGCTGCGATTGGGCGTAAACTTCGGGCGCTTTTCGCTCTCACTTTCGGCGCTCGTATTCCACTCCTCATTGGCCGCCATTTTCCTTCTCTACGGCCTCTTCTTCTACACCTTAAATATGTTCGAAACGTGCAAATACTTGACTCCCGTCGCGGCCCTCGCTTTCCTCGCGGGACACCAGTTGTTGGCGCGACTGAACCGAGTCAAGTGATAACAAGTGGCGCCATCTGTCGCGCGGCGAACGCAGCGATAGTTTTGTAAACATTTTATTTAAAAGAAAGGAAACAAAAAATTAAATCTAATTTTATAATTAAATACAAGTCTTTCGGGAATGTCTTCTTCAACAGCAGCCCGAGCTCTTGGACGGGATGTTCGTCGTCTGGCCGGGACTGATGGTCTGTCCGGATTGCGCCGCCACTCCCGACACGGGTCCCATTCGCGCTTTTATCTCGGCCGCCATTGTGAGGAAGGCCTGCTCCACGTTCGTCGCGTTCTTCGCCGACGTCTCCAGAAATGGGATGCCTGTGGGGAGAGACAGGTGTGAGTGACAGACGCACAGAGGGAGGGGAGGGGCACTGACCCAGGTTCTCGGCGAACTCCTTGGCGGCCGCGTACTCGACGACCTTTTTGGCCGTGAGATCGCATTTGTTTCCGACGAGCAGTTTGTTGACGTTATCGCAGGCGTAGCGGTCGATCTCTTGCAGCCATTGCTTCACGTTATTGAAGGACTCCAAGTCCGTCACGTCGTATACAACAATGATTCCGTGGGCGCCCCTGTAGTACGACGACGTGATCGTCCGGAAGCGCTCCTGGCCAGCCGTGTCCCAGATCTGCAACTTTATGGTCTTGCCGTCCAATTCAATCGTCCGGATCTTGAAGTCGACGCCAATCGTCGAGATGTAGGACTCGGTGTACGTGTCGTCCGCGAACCGCAACAATAGACACGACTTCCCGACTCCCGAGTCGCCGATCAGAAGCAGTTTGAAGAGATAGTCGCTGCGGAGGAAGGGGTTAGTCTCGCGGGAAGTGTCTTGTCGTGAATACTCACTATTCGGGATTCATTTCTTGTGAAGGATTGCAGAAAATGGACGCAAAGATCAACAGAAAGAGGAGTAAAACGCAAATGACGTGTCTGTGAGTGTGTGACGCACTGCGCAGTCGCTCTCAACACTCCCAATGACTCATGAGATGACGTGAGGCGAGAGATGGCGCACGAGTGCCTTCACTGCAGAGACGCTGCGCTCAGAGTTGTGCTCCGAATGACGTCCGGAAGAAGTCTTTGCGGTTCGGCGGCCAAAGCGAGCCGTCTGTGAGGGCTGTCTGTGAGCGGAGTCTGCGCCGACTCCGCGCCCACCCCACGCCCCCTCCGCGGCCGCCCACAACCCCTCTCTTCCCCCCACACGCCTCAAACCCCGCGAAGACGTAATTTGTGTGACAACTAATGGACGGCTCAAGAGATGCGAAAATAGTTTGGAAAATGCGTTGAATTCTTGCGCCGAATGCAAGAGACGGTCGAAAAGGCGGTCAAAGGGACGGTTGTGGCGCCGCCGCCGCAGTCGCTGCTGAGCGCGGGTCACGTGGTGAAGGAGCGGTGGCGAGTGGTGCGGCGTCTGGGCGGCGGCGGCTTCGGCGAGATCTTCGAGTGCGTGGATCTGTCGACCCAACAGTTGGT